ACAAGACGAGGTTTGAGAAGAAAACCAAACCTAGAATCCAGAGACAACCTGCTCCTGAAGGGTTACCTGCGAACTTTCCTGAGCTACCTAGGACGGACAATCGCCCAGCCCAGACTACTAGCAAAATCCGTTACAGTGACAAAGTGAAAAACAAATCAACGCCAGTGACTAGCATTTCTGATGGACTTCTATCGTGTCTTCGTAATCCAAACATCCAGGAACTTGTAAAATTATTCTTGAGATATTTGGTTTCCTGCAAAATTTGAACATCGCGGAGATGCTGCGGTCAGTAATTCAAACTGCGCAGAAGCTCATGGACTACACTGCTTGTGAGTAACTATTTTTTCATGAACTTTATTTTTCAGTAAATATCACTTGTTCATCAGCTCGAGGGCTTTTCCTGACCCTCTATTATTAGTGTATAACTTATCCTTAACCTTGCAATTTAATTATTCGTTAGTCTTCCCATTTTTCAAAATTTTACTTTATACTTGCATCGTTTTTACTTAATTCTTTTTACTCAAATTTCTGAATTTTTCTAATTTAACTAAGTTTTAGAAAGAAATAGGTTACTTTTTGTTATCATTCGAAATTTTAAAATTGTTCTACAAGGGGTAGGGACTTTGGCCCAGGTACCCTGGTGTCACACCGTCCCACTGGAGGTCTGAAATTTTTAGGTAATAGCAGTCGGAGCAGGAGTCGCTAAAAATCAGACTCCGACACCAGCGTTTGTTGGACTATTTAAATTTGAAATGAAATTAAAGTGCACTGAAAAAAAATTTATACAAATGACAAACTGAGTTATTATTTTTATTTATGGACTAAATACATTAATAAATAGTTTTCTATTTTATTGACATATTAATAAATAAATATAAGGAAGGAGGATGGATGGGATATTTGCCATCACTGATTCATTTACAGAGTGCGGCAGGGGAACTTCCTTATTTGAAACGCGCGCCATCTAGCGATATTTATTCCGAGAAGGGGGGCGCTCATTGAAAAGAGAGGTGTCTAACGTTTCATGTCATGTAGGTTTATTGCGGGAATAAGCAAAATATTCGATGCTGGACTGGCACGAATTCCCGAAAACTTCATTAGCAGCCCCGCCATACAAAAACGTGTGACTGTTTGGTGTGCGTTGTCCAGAATAGGCATCATTGAACCATGGTGTTTCGAAGAACATTTCTCTGGACGCCTTATCTCCTTACGGGGCGATCTACAGTGGCTAGCGCGCTCGCCTGATTTAGCACCGCGCGATTTCTTTTTGTGGGGCTATCTGAAATCTCCGACATCCAAAGACCCTGGTTCAACTGAAGAACAACATTCAAGCTGCTATCGACAACATACCCGTTGATATGCTGGTAAAAATGGAAAGAAAATTTAAAACTCGACTATCTCAATGCATTAACCAGAACAGAGGCCACCTTAATAATATTATTTTTAAACCATAATAAAAAATAAAAAAAACAAGTGTCTCTCTATAACTTGGGAAAAAAGTAAACTGATATCGCTTATACTATTTGTGTTATTCATTTTTAAAATAAGGTAGTTTCCCTGTCGCACCCTATAGTTATAAATCTCACTGGTAAATTTGGGTAAGCAGCAATAGCAAAAAGAACTCCCGAAATTGATGCCATTCTTTTAGGAATCGAGCAGAAAAAAAGGAGCGATTATTGTTGAAGGTAAGCGATAGGGAAGTACATATTTGATGAATATAGTGGTTGTTAGAATTAAGAACTTTTTTAGAAGATGTAGATAACGCTAATGTTTCACTAGCAGAAAGACTGTGAAATGATTTTGGAGAATTGGAAAGTCTTCTTTCTACGCCGTATATAGCCACAAAAGAGCTACAATCTGAAGAATTAACAGGAGGTGAGAATGGAATAATGTGATGTTTGTTCTTTCTGAAATGTAGGGCTTATTGCAGAAAGAATAGAAATTATAAATGCCAGTTTTTCCATTTCATAATGAATGTTAATTAATATAAATAATTTGCTATGAGACGAAATTGTTTTGTCTGTAGCATCTATTACTTCTTTTATATTAAAAAAGTAAGCTATAACACATGTGTATACGTTTACATATGTAGAGGAAGTCGGAGTCAGAGTCTTTAAAATTCCAGGAGCCGGGAGTCGAGCATTTTCTCTACCGACTCCACAGCCCTGAATTTAAGTAACTTGGAAAAAGAAAAATGCATAATAATTAGAAATAAAATCGGGTTAATTTTAAAACCAGAAAATAAAGTCTTACAGTAAAGAAAACTTTTCAGCTTCGTAGTTATGAAATCTTTTGCTCATGAAAGATTAATGAGCTGCAACTGCTGGACCCTCTGGTATTCAGATGGTCCCAATACATCTCTCTTGGTCGGAAACATTGAAGTAAAATTCTGGGAGGGAAGAGAAATAACAAAAGGAGTAGCTGGCATTCTTCAAAGCTCTAGGCTAATTTTCGCGACATTTCACGTTGCGTTCGGTCAAAAATTAGTGACCGTTTTAAAGGCATTTATTTAAAATAACTCGACAGGAAAAGGGTTAAAAAGTAAATCTTTCGTTACGACTCTGATATTTTCCTGTTTCTGCTAAAATACGGCAGTGTACAATATACAGAGTGTCCCACAGAGGACACATGTTTTTAAAATTAAATAACTCGTAAAGGAAGATCGATAGAATAATGATACAAAAGGTATGTTTATTGGGACAGCTGTAAAAATCTGATATAGAAGTTTCACATTTAGTTACAAAAGTTGCCAACAGGAACGCTGTAGTAGCTGTACATTCTAGAAAAAGGTAACAAACGTGTCCTCTGCAAGCCGTTGTTGGATTCACATCACAATCTTTTAAAATGTCCACCTTTCGCAGTACAGAGGTGGCGCAAACGAAGAATGAAATTTTCACACACCTCCCGTAGTATTTCAACGGAAATGGATGCATATGCTTCACAGATCGGCTTTCCAAGCTCGTCCAGTGTTGCAGGCTTCTTCTGGAGACGGTGTCCTTCAAGGTGCCCCATAAAAGGTAGTCACTAGGAGTAAGATCAAATGAGTATGGAGGCCAATCCATGTCTCTTCCAGTAAATTTGGAATAGCCCAAAGCAATAACTCTATCCCCGAAGTATTTCTCAAGGAACTGAAACACCTGTTCCGCGAGGTGTGGTTGGGCCCTATCTTGCGTGAACCACGAATTGCCTGGTCGATCCTTCAACGCTAATAGTGTGGCAACAAACTGTTCCAACATTTCAACATAACGGTCATTTCTCACAAGAAGGAGCCAATAACACCTTTGCTGGATACTGCAGCCTAAACAGTTACTTTTGGGGAATATAGTGGTTCTGCTTTACACAAACGGTGGTTTTCAGTACCCCAGAACCGCCAATTTTGTTTGTTCATGACATCATTCACGTGAAAATGTGGTTCATCTCTGAACCATATGCAGCCAACATCGAAACCGCCATCATCAATCATTAGGAGCATTTCGTTCACGAAGTCTTCTCTCTGTTGCACAGCTTAAACGGGAATGGCTTGGTGACATTGGATTTTGAACAGTAACATACGTAGCCTGTTTCCAGTATTTTGTGCATGCTAGATCACGTTAAGGCAGATTCTGCTGAAAGTCTTCTGATGTAGTTCTTCAGATTTTCCTGAATAAGGGCAGAAACTGTCGCGACATTTTCAGGAATAACTACAGTGCACCTAGCACCCATTTTTCACAAACTCATCAGCCACGCTTCCGATCCAGTGAAATTTATCGAAAAGCACACGAATAGTTTTCGAATCAGGACCTTCTGCAACGTTAAATCGAGATTGAAAACCGTTCCTTGTTTTGCTGTAGGACTGTAATTTAACTTGCGAAATTCCAGTACCAGAAAAACACGTTGTTTCATGGAATACATAATTTCATGCAAGTCCTTCGATACCCTAACGTTCTTTCACGTTTTAACAGTGGAACTCTCCGCAGACTGGTCGCTTTGGACTTCAGATCACTCTTTATGGGGACTCCTTCTTGGTAATACAGCGTACGGCGCCACCTATTAACAACTTTTGCATCAGATTTTTACAGCCGTCGCAATAAACATACCTTTCGTTTCATTCTTCTATCGATCTTTGTTTTTGAGTTTTCTAATTTTTAAAACGGGAATCCTTTATGGGACACCATTTAAATCCAACGTATGAAAACAGAGTAGTTCCAACGTATGACGTATTGGATTTACAACGAGCCATTGTATTTGATTTTCAATAGTGGCAGTTTTTATTAAACTATATCAGAATAGCTTTCTATATCCCTATATCGATATATTGTAAGATTTATCATTTAGCACAAATAAAAAAGACTTTTTCGCTACAGACGAATGGCAAAATCATTCGGCTTTGCAATGCTCTTTGCCGTCACTTACAAAATTCGTGTTGCTCGATTTTATCATCTGGTTCTAAATATTGTAATATTCTGCCAATGATATGGCTTCCACTGAAACCACTGTTGCAAAATCTAAATGATTAGCAGCAAAATACAAACTGGCGGCTAGCACATTTTGTTGATTTTTGCGGGCGATATGTGAAAATTCTTACTTGCCTCTCAATTTTGTTTAAAACGCCTCGTCATTTGGAACTCCTTTCACAAGTAACTAATGTTCTTAAACTATCGATATCATAGCAGCATGTTCTAATCGTTTGATGAATGCGTATACCACAACTTTCGAAATGCAAGCTGCACACATTGCATATTATAAAACACATAACTTTCTGCTATAAATTCGAAAAATATAAAATAAAGCTGCTTATATTTGGGGGGGGGGGGGGGGGGTAAATAAATCTGTCATTAAAGTATCGGCACCTGCGAATTTAAAAATTAAGGCGTTTTCTTTCATTACATGAATTTCGAGAACACATGCAATATATTACTTCAAAATTACAGTATTTTAACAGCAATGATTAATTTATAATATCACTGTGTAACAGAAATATACTTTATGTGATAATATAAACGTCAAATAAAAATCAACAGTTAGAACTAATATATCACATTTTATTTTCAGTATGAACATAATAAGATGAAATTCTCTCTCCGTTCTGTGGGTATCATTTCTTTTCATTCTGCAAGATTCCAGAGAAATTTTTTTTTCAAACGAGCTGCACCTACAAAAAAAAGGAGAAAAAGTATTTAAATAATTAGCGGAGATAATTTTATTTTCATTTAAAATAAACGTAACTTAAAACAGCCAGTTTCTTCACATTTTATTATTCAGAGTTAATATTTTTTTCATTTTGCCTTGTTTATAATTTTTTTCAATTTCTGACACTGTATTATCAAACATAAAACGGTTAAATGCATCTTTAGAACAATAAATTATTTCTGTCCACGACTATAAAAAAACAAAATTTCCCGCATGCATTAAACCCAGCGCCTTTACAGTAAAACAGAAAAAGCAAAATCAAGGAAGTTACTAATTGCTGCTGAGATTCTTGAATGTGCATCAAGACGTGACGTCTTATCTGACGTGTAGCCCTTGTCTTGCTCGATTTGGAATTGTGAAAAATTTGTTATGTATTTCATTATTATGCACTTATAGTTCTATTAGCTATTATATAGTATCTATATCTTGTAAATATCCGTTTTTATGTAACATATAATAATATAAATAGTACATTGCTTCTCAAAAAGCACACGGCAGTACATTTCACATAACACAGGAAGTTACTCCTGTCATCAGTTGTAAGCAATTGAGTTATTATTCATCAGAATACTAATTAAATTACAGAAAATGCATTTTACTATACTTTTAACCCATTCAGTATTAATTTCCTTATTGAACTGTAATGAGAAAAGGCTTTATGCACTATATAAACAAAATAATACGAATTTTATATAAGATGGCACTTTCTGATTCTGGCATTCTTTGCACCGAGAATTCTTTCCCTCAAATGACTGCCCCTCAGTGATGTTCCCAGTACAGCAAAGGGTGTTAGAGCTGCCAATGGCTGTGCTAATTGCGGGAGCTGCTAGTGTTTCTGTTAGAGAACAGTTTTCACTTTGACATTAGCAAAATACGTAGGTACTACGTACAAGCAATACTTTCATTTTCAGAGTACTCGCACACCAGCCTCATTCTGTGTGGAGAGCTTCTGTTGGCGATTCTGTTAAAAAAAAGTCTAATGTTTTAACATATAATCTTCACTAGAGACAAACCGGATATTCCAAAACTAGATACCTGTCATTTTTTCCGCGTGCATACTACCTCCTGAGAACATCTGCAGGTAGGCAGAATTTTCCAAAGAAAATGTAAATGTCATCAAAATACAAAACTACACATGTGCTGTTCAAAAGCGTTACTAAGGATGTATATGCTCCTCTTTCTGTAGACTTTAGGGGAAATTTTTTACTCAACTGTGAAAAGTGCACTGAATTTATAGGATTAAGGGATTTTTGTAATTGTGTGTGAATGCATCAGAGTTGTTTAACATTTACTAGTTTTTGCCACACAGAATGCCCACAAGCGGGAATATCTCTGAACATTGATGGCTTTGCTGACTTGAATACGAACGATTTTTCCTTAGTAAGCCTTTGTTGGGGTAGGTGCAGATGCTGATGTTCTCTTCAAAACAATTTTCAGAAATCCTTTTCATCCTATGCCTAATCTAATTTGAACATTTAAAAGTCATCTGATAGCTGCATTACCCATAGCAGAAAATAAAAAAAATTGAAACAGTAAATATCCCCGGGATAATCTCGTAATTTGAGAATTTGTAATGCATGCTTAACTTTTAAATGCAGTGCATTTATGAGTTAGTTCATATACAGGGTGTCTCAGCGCCGGGATTACAAATTAGGTACCGTCTTTTTCCGAAAATAAGACACTGTCTTACTTTCATTTTTGGTCCAAAATACGCGCTAGGGCTTATTTTCGGGGGAGGGCAAAAATAAAAGTATATTTATATATTTTTATTTAATATTTATTTTACACAGAATACAGAAATTTAAATTTATTCAATTACAGTCATGTCATCTTCTTCTGGAACATCGTCATAAATAAAATTCATTCTGAATTATATTCTGATTTTCTTCCAAATCCATTTCTTGTTGAATCATTGGTCCGAATCTCTCATGTCTTGCGATATAGCTATCGTTAAATGAATACTTCTTGTCTAAGTAGCCTGTTCGTGGTGCATTGGAAACATCACTATCAGATATTTTGTCCCATGAATTTTTTACCCAATTCACAACTTCTTACAAAATTTATCCCTATGATTTCTCACCATTGTGTTTTCAATATATTCATTGATTTCGGAATATTTTGCTTCAAACATTTCTCTGAAATACGAGTATTAGGAAAGCTAAACATATTATTACTTAATAAATCAACAGCATTTTTTAACGAATTCTTTTTGTCACATTATTTTAACTAGGGATTATTTTCGGGGAATGTCTTATTTTACAAAAAGTTCCGAAAATCACGATAGGGCTTATTTTCGGAGCATGTCTTATTTTCAGAAAAAGACGGTAGTAGAAAAGGTAAGAAAAATCCAAATGACTAGGAATTTCACAGCAACGCAGAGTTGAAAATTCTTTCATAATGCCGCAAATGGTGTTGGCCCACGCATAGGGAAACTTCATTTTACACACGACGCAAACGCTGGCGGGATGAGTACTTATATGAAAACGGATCCAGCCAATTTCCATCTGGTTTAAGGGGCTGGGGAGCGTAATGCGCGAGCCGCATAGTGATAGTTCGAAAAACATTATCTGATGAGGCATAAACCCAATCATAATCTCTTTGGACGCCTGCAACAGAAGTTAGTTAAAACATGCTACTTACAGAGAGTCCTCATGAGTCATGATTGATCGGCAAAGCATCTGGACATGGAGAAAACTGTGCTACATCCTGTACAACGCTCTTTAAATTCGAGTACTCGAGCTCTAACATATGAAAGCATAGCTTGCTGCTGCGGCGTGTTGAGGATTTTTAGAGAAAACGAAATGCAGCAGTATCACGCGCAGTATCTCAGCCAGATAATTATGTACCACAGAACGTTTTTGCTTTGCGCAATGGTTTCAGCAACAGTCAGTGTTCACGGATGAGTTGTTCTTCACAGGAAAAGAAATCTTCGATTCGCATAATGACCATATATAGGCGGTGGGGAACCATCATACGGCACGAAGCCATGAAGCACAGAGTCGTTTCGAGTATGTATGGGAGCTGGCACTAGGTCGAATCACTTTATCAGAACCACGGACAACTAGCCTGTTACCTTTTCGTCTGACCGGTAGCAACCCCTTGATATCTTTGAAGCATAGATTGTCACAACTTTTGGAGGACGAACAACTTTTGCACTGCAGTGATCTTCACTGTGGTTCTAACTCGATGGGACCCCTGGGCGATTTCAGTCGTTACTTTCGTTAATTACTAAGACGTTATATTTGGTACACTGTTTTTAGAACATTTCTAGACAATTTAAGTGCAATAGAATGCTGATTATCGGAACTCAACTACTGAGTATCCAAACAATTCAGTTTAAAGGTAAAACAGAACGATGTAGATAAGAAGCTATTCTCTTTTCCCCCCTTTCCTTCCGGCAGACTATATCAAAGAAGTTCGGTAATGATGTGGAACAAATAAGAAAGATACTGGAACGGAACAATAGGATAAGGCTTATTACGAATCTAAATCTAATGATAAGAAGGAGTCTGAAAGAAACTAATCTTCGTAAATAAATTATGAAAAAAATACAATTAATTAATGCTTAAATGTGGACGTAAATGATTTTTTATATCAAATTTTATTTGACGCAGAGATTGATCGTTTGCTCAAGATGACAAGAAATCCAAGAAAACAAAAAACACAATTACGATATAGACCCACGTTCAATCAAATAATTTAACAGTTTAAAATGTGTAAGGGAGTGTATTCTGAAACAAGTGTTAATTTCTGTGCCTGAACGGAATTCGCGACACGACCACGCGTAAAAGAACATTTTCTTTGAAACAAAATGCAATGTTCGGTTTTTCTTCTTTATAAAGAAGAAATATAATTAACCAAGTCTCAGTTTGAATAGGATAAAGTTCCATATTTTTATTATCTCCTAGTGCTTGAGATTGCGCACTGCCATCTGAAATAAATGTTACAGTTTTCATCCCAAATTTTTGTTTATGCAGATTGGGATAGGTACCAATAGGCATTATACTGCACTACCATTATTTTAGTTTTCTGACTTTGTTTCTGATAATGTGAATTCAGTTCCACATGAATATGAATTCAGTTTTGATTTTTATTTCGTTATTTTTTTGGAATGTTTGTATGTATTTAAAAATGAAAGAAAGAAAATACGTGTTTATTTAATTCTGTAAAGAATATATGAGAAATATTTTTACATAGATTAATTGTGTTTTCCCATAAAATTTTAACAAGTTATTCTAGAAAAATTTTAAATTGTGATAAACCATCCCCTTTATAACGAATCTCAACATTTTATGTCTTGAAGGATTTCCTAAATTATAAAGAAACTTGAGGAAATGTATAAGAAGTTAGAACATTTTATACATTTAAACTTTTTTAAATTTTAAACTTTAAAATTTTCAAGTAAAATAACTAACATTTGATTCATTAATTCATCTTAAAATAATAATAAAACATTAATACTACTTATGAAATTTTTATATTCATTAAAATACCATTATAATAACGTTTTTGATTAAAATATATCTCTTACAAATAACTATTCCACCTGTGTTTGTTTCAAATTGTTCAACAACAGTTTTTAGTTGTATTCTCAATTTCGTAAAACTGCTGATAGCTTTTTTGACCTTGCAGTTCAAGAAATATTCTTCGTCATCAACTAATTAAAACTACGATAAAAACTTACGGCTATAGATTTACAATTTATTACTCATGGGGTAGAATTTTGTCCTAGGAGCCCTTTTGCTGTGGCCCGCGGCCACCAAGGACAGTTTTTTTACATAAATTTATTTGCATATAACTCACAAGAAAATGAATGTTTAGTAACTGGAATTTTTGCTTTATGAAATTGTAGGATCTTATGCTAAGAACCAATTATGATGACATGAAACTTTACTATTAACTTCTTTCTATAGTCCTCATTTGAATGCCCCCCTCAAGACCTGAAGGCTGCCTCAACGTGGC